CATGCTCCGTGATGCATGAGGCTCTGCACAACCACTACACCCAGAAGAGCCTCTCCGTGTCTCCGGGTAAATGAGTGCGACACCCGGCAAGCCCCCGCCCCCCGGGCTCTCGGGGTGGCGCGAGGATGCTTGGCCCGCACCCCGTGTACATACTTCCCAGGCGCCCGGCATGGAAATAAAGCACCCAGCGCTGCCCTGGGCCCCTGCGAGACTCTGATGGTTCTTTCCGCGGGTCAGGCCGAGTCTGAGGCCTGAGTGGCACGAGGGAGGCACAGTGGGTCCCACTGACCCCACACTGGCCCAGGCTGTGCACGTGTGCCTGGGTCACCTAGGGTGGGGCTCAGCCAGGGGCCGCCCTCCGCGGGGTAGGGGACTTTGCCAGCGAGGCCCTCCCTCCAGCAGCAGCTGCCCTGGGCTGGGCCACCAGAAGCCTAGGAGCCCCCTGGGGACAGGCACACAGCCCCCGCCTCTGTAGGAGACTGTCCTGATCTGTGAGCTCCCTGTCCTCAGACCCCCTGCCCACTCGGGGGCATGCCTAGTCCATGTGGGTAGAGACAGGCCCTCCCTCACCCATCTGCCCCCACGGCACTAACCCCTGGCAGCCCTGCCCAGACTGGCACCCACATGGGGACATAACCAACTCCTGGAGACATAACCAACTCCTGGGGACATGCACTCTCGGGCCCTGTGGAGGGACTGGTCCAGATGCCCACACACACACACTCAGCCCAGACCCATTAAACTCCACACTGAGGTTGGCCGGCCACACAGCCACCACACACACACACACACACACACACACGCACACCTCACACACAGAGCCTCACACGGGCGACCTGCACAGCACCCAGACCACAGCAAGGTCCCCACACACGTGAACACTCCGCAGACACAGGCCCCCACGAGCCCCACGCAGCACCTCAAGGCCCACGAGTCACTCAGCAGCTTGTCCACACGCTGACCAGCTCACACAAACCCAGCCCTCCTCTCACAGCAGAGCCCCTGCAGCCGCCGCACACACACAGGCCCCCACACACAGGGGAACACACGCCACATCGCGTCCCTGGCTCGGGCCCACTTCCCAGTACCGCCCTTCCCTGCAGCTGGGGTCACCTCAGGGGTGGGCTTCACCATCCTCCTGCTCTCTGGGCCTCAGGGAGGGACACGGGAGACGGGGAGTGGGTCCTGCTGAGGGCCGGGTCACTATCTAGGGCCGAGTGTCTGGCTGAGCCCCGGGGTCAAAGCTGGTGCACAGGGCGGGCAGCTTCGGGGAGCTGATCTCAGGACACTGTTGGCCCATCCCGGCCGGGCCCTACATCCTGGGCCCCCCCACAGAGGGAATCGCCCCCAGAGGCCCGAGCCCAGCGGGACACGGCACTGACCACCCCGTTCCTGTCCAGAGCTGCAACTGGAGGAGAGCTGTGCGGAGGCGCAGGACGGGGAGCTGGACGGGCTGTGGACGACCATCACCATCTTCATCACACTCTTCCTGCTAAGCGTGTGCTACAGTGCCACCGTCACCTTCTTCAAGGTCGGCCGCACGTTGTCCCCAGCTGTCCCTGACACTGTCCCCCACTCTCTCAAAAACTCTCCCTGGCACTGTCCCCCACGCTGTCCCCACCTGTCCAACAGTGTGCCACAGGCTGTCTCCACATGTCCCCGACACTGTCCCCCACATTGTCATAAACTGTCCATGACACTGTCCCCCAGTGTGTCCCCAGCTGTCTGACACTGTCCCCCAGGCTGACCCACCTGTCACTGACGCTGTCCCCCACTCTCTCACAAACTGTCCCTGGCACTGTCCTCACCTGTCCAACAGTGTCCCCCAGGCTGTCACATGTCCCTGACACTGTCCCCCATGCTGTCCCCTATGGTGTCCTCATCTGTCCCCAACACTGTCCCCCACACAGTCTCCACCTATCCCTGACACTGTCCCCCACTCTGTCCCCTACAGTCCTTGGCACTGTTCCCCATGCTGTCCCCTCCTGTAGGCAAACCTGTCCACCATACTCTCTCCTCCTGTTCCTGACACTGTCCCCCACGCTGTCCCC